TGAAACCTTAGATATTTCCCTTTCATTTGATATAATTTTTTTTGAAAATCTAACACTTATTCTGCTCACTGGGGGGATTTAAAATAGTAACTTTTTTACAAAAAATAACTTTTTCAACTTAATTTTTGAAAATGTTCCGGAAATACTGCGTCCTTTAAACATATATCAAATTAAAGCTTATTTTATGTACTATAAAATGAAAAAAAAAATAATTTGTCCCGACGACCTATCTTCTATGCGCAAATGGCTACCATATTCAAAAATATGCTATTTTGACAAATTTTTTTTTTTTTTAATTAAACAATATCTACAGATTTGCATCGAAGCGTTTTTTATGATAGTGATTTTAATCACTGTCAGATATCATCTATACTGGACCCAACTATGCCACGACCCCACTGTGCTGGGTTTATTTTTTAATTGTTGTTAAGACATATTGATTTCCTAATAATTATCATTATCGTTTTCATTTATTGTGTATTTATGATATGTTTATTAATAGCTACAAGCAACTTATTTTATGATTTATTAATAAACATAGACTTGCTTGAAAAATATTTTTAAATACATTAATTTTTTCGAGGAAGAATTAGTAGTGTTATGGCTAAAATATATAAAAATGAGCCTTCTCCGTCATAACGTAATGAAGAGCGGCTAATTTTTAAATACCTATACACGGAAAATATGTGAATACGCCCCTAAACGTTATCTATAATCAAATTTTATGTAATAACATTTAAACGTAATACAATTTTTATGTAAAATAGTAAATGACGCTGTTATTTCAAAATTCCCCCTTCTACGGAAAATGTATAACAACACCGGATTGCTTGATGAAGTCTCGTGTCTAGTCAATTTTATCTAAATTCCATGAATTTAGATTTTTATGTTTAACGTTAAAAGGGTTCGAAATAATTCTCTACCATAAGCAGTTTTTAATATGGGCAAATTACTATTATTTTCTTACATAGAGGTTTTTATTTATAACGTTTAAAAATAATTTATTTTTGTTTTATTAAGAATTGTTTTACGTCATAAGGTATATGTATAGGTAATGTTGAACGACATTATATGTGTATTAACATCACATGTTTTTTATTTATTGATTACGTTTCGATCAAATTGTTCGTTCTAAGCGTTATAACTAAGTATTATTCATTAAGTTTTTTTGTCTTGTTAAATAGACACTAACTACATATTATTAAAAACAAAAGGCTTTATAGGATAATTTTAGGGGCTCAATGATTTACCTCGCCCCAAAAAAATATATTAATTTAAAAATACATATTTGGGATAATTTTTAATAGATAGCTTAACAAACAACACTCTTATTTCGTTCTCGTGTATATATTAAATGTATATGTATAGTTTGTCATTAAATTATAAAATACATTGGTAAGTTTTATATTCATTAAGTGTGTCCCGCAGCCGATAGATAATTATTAAATGTGCACTAGCAGATATGAGCCATTTGGCACACATATCACTAATAAAAAAAAGAAATGTTTCAAAAAACAAAAACAATGAATGGACACATATAAGACTACTATTGATTTATGTGAGATTAGAACCGCAAACTAATAATAAAAATATTTATTAGGTAGAGAGAAGTCAATACAAAGTCTAGTAGAACATCAGAAAAAGAAGTCTCGCAGTACAAAAACTGTCAATATTTTAATCATACATAAAATTACTATCGCAAAACACCAGTGTGTGTTAAGTATAGTGAAAAACATAAGACTTTAGGCTGTCCTAAATCTATGATAAATAAAGCGAAGTGTACTAGTTATGGTAAAAATCATACAGTCAACTGGAAGGCTGTTCAGTCTATAATAAGCGTCAGAATTAAAGTCTAATCCTTTAAAAGTGACTATTGTTCAACATATGAATAAACTTTCACACATAAAAATGGCGTTACATTCGCTCAAGCAATGAAAAAAGATAACCAGGGCCTGGACTAAAATCATCAATAGGCCTTGAGGCAGTACCTTGATATGGGCACCGCCTACAAAATATATCGCTACCAAAAGTGATAATCAAAAAAAAAATAAAAGAAATACTGATCATGAAAATGAACTACAACTGACCATTATAGAGGTCAGTTGTACATTATTTTACAGGTTACGCTTATCACTACATATAAGTATGAGGATAATGTAACACAAATATTACATACATTTTAATATTTTATTCAGAAAACCGATTATGATTTCCAGTTCAGTTAAGTTTTCAAACTCGATTTTAAAATATTCTTTTTCAGTTTCAAAAATTGGGTTTTGAACAATCCTGGTTATCGTTTTTGGTTTTTAAAAACAATTTTAGATTCTTACAATTTATTTAACTTATTTTATTTCATATTCGGTTTTGATGCGGAAATCAGTTAAATATAAATTACAAAATAAGTATTCAATGGTTAAAACTGTTTTTGTAAGAATTATTATCAATCCTTAGTTTGAATCGTTCAAAATTGTTATTTTTTAATATAATTTAAAATCAATACATTTTTTATAATCAACTGCTTTAGAGTAAAAGATATGTTTCAAAAATATTTCATAACTTGTGGTATGTTCAAAACCTGTCGTAATGCACACTTTTACCACTACAACGAGCGCTTTTTTGTGACACTAGCATATCACGATGGATAGAAAATATATTCTTTACATTGGGGTACGAACTCTAGTTGAATTTAATTTATCTCATAAAACTACTTAATATTAACTATAAAGATCGCTATACGTATTTCAGCATTACTAATGATATATTGAAAGTTATGGGAATACCCAACTTAATAACGTAATCGCAGTTTACTGGTAGCACATTGTTGCCTCCATTGGCCACAGTGCTATATTTTACCTCCATTGTGATAACAACACAACAGTTTGTAGACTCAAGATAATGTTCGTTAATGCCGATCAATAGGTTAATAAATAAAGGGAAACGCCGATGAAAATATTTTTTTTTACCATTATCAAAATAAATAAATATTTCAGTTGCGAATTTGACAAATAACAGTATTCAAAATTTACACGAACAAGTACAGTATTACAATTTTACATTTATTTATAAACTGTGTAACATCGTTATTATCATGATCGGTGGACTTTTTATGTATAACCATAAAGGGGAAGTGCTTATATCGAGAGTTTATAGAGATGATATAGGTCGAAACGCTGTAGATGCATTTCGTGTTAATGTTATTCATGCTCGTCAGCAAGTGCGATCTCCAGTAACAAATATTGCACGTACATCATTTTTTCACATAAGAAGAGCTAACATTTGGCTAGCTGCTGTCACTAAACAAAATGTTAATGGTGCCATGGTTTTTGAGTTTCTTATTCGGTTTACTCAGGTGATGCAATCATATTTTGGAAAGATTAACGAAGAAAATATAAAAAACAACTTTGTTCTTATCTATGAGTTGTTAGACGAGATATTAGATTTTGGTTATCCTCAAAATTGTGACACTGGCGTTCTTAAAACATTTATTACTCAAACTGGTATAAAATCACAAAGCAAAGAAGAACAAATGCAAATTACATCTCAAGTCACTGGACAGATTGGATGGCGCCGTGAAGGAATTAAATATCGTCGAAACGAATTATTCTTGGATGTTCTGGAATATGTTAACTTGTTGATGTCACCACAAGGTCAAGTATTATCAGCTCATGTAGCTGGACGTATTTTAATGAAATCATATTTGAGTGGTATGCCAGAATGTAAATTTGGTATTAATGATAAAATAGTTATGGAATCTAAAGGAACAAAAATAATCGATGAGACAGGTTCAAGAACTGCATCAGGAAAACCAGTAGTCGTAATAGATGACTGTCAATTTCACCAGTGTGTTAAACTCTCTAAATTTGAAACTGAACATTCCATTAGTTTTATTCCTCCTGATGGAGAATTTGAGTTGATGCGTTATCGCACAACCAAGGATATATCACTACCTTTTAGAGTAATTCCTTTAGTTCGTGAAGTCGGTCGTACTCGGATGGAAGTAAAGGCTGTATTAAAGTCTAATTTTAAACCTTCACTCCTAGGACAAAAAATTGAAGTAAAAATTCCTACACCATTGAATACTGCTGGAGTTCAATTACTTTGTTTAAAAGGTAAAGCCAAGTACAAAGCATCAGATAATGCAATTGTATGGAAAATTAAAAGAATGGCAGGAATGAAAGAAACTCAGTTATCAGCTGAAATTGATTTGTTGGAGACTGACACGAAAAAAAAATGGACAAGACCACCAATATCAATGAATTTTGAGGTACCGTTTGCTCCTTCTGGATTTAAAGTAAGGTATTTAAAAGTTTTTGAACCAAAATTGAATTACTCTGATCATGATGTTGTTAAGTGGGTTCGTTATATTGGACGCAGTGGTTTGTACGAAACGAGATGTTAATGATCAGTTATAATTTTTAACACCTAAATCCTGTTTGATCATTCAAATATTGTTTTATTATTATTGGTAATAGATTATTATTATTTATGATTTATTACCATTGTTTGTAATACCCTCTATATCTGTGCAGAAGGTTATACTCAGAATATTTATTGAACAATGAATTTTTATAATTCACTTATGTAATCTATTAATTTATAAATATATTGTTATTTAGGCTAGTCATTAATGATTTATTTGTAATTTTATACTGTCATATAAACAATTCAAAATTGTTTTGATTAAAAGTATAATCTCCCAAATTTTTTTTTATTATTGTATTATTATTTTATTTAAATAAATTATATATATATATATATATATATTTTTTTTTTTCTTTTTATAAGTTAGAATAATGATCTGCATGTTAGTATTATGAAATATACATTCAGTCAAATAATATTAAGAGTTGATGATAATGATAATAATATTATTTGTAATTTCTGAACAATTATAACAATAATGTAACTGTTAAATTAATTAATCTGTACAATATAATATTATTATAATGTTGGTTTTATTATTATTATAATAGTAATAAAATAAATTTAGCTGCCCTTTGAATTATTCAATGTTAATATAATCAATTAAATTATTTCTAGAAGACAAATTGTTTATTATTTAATGTTTAAAATAATGATTAATAACATTTTAAAACTTTAAACTTTTCTTCTGAAAAATAAAAAAAATTTATTAGAAACTTTGAAACATTTGAAAAACTCACATTTGTGCCTATTGAAAAATACATTATTTAGAGAAATATTATTATCTATTTTTCTCAGGTGGATGTTTACATACAAATGGCAAAAGAGAAGTTTCTAGTTTAAAACATAGCCTCTACAAGTTACTTCATTACATTTAATAAAACTTATATTTCAGGAATTTTTAGCTTCGATGTGAAGCTGAGAAGGTATTGGTTTTACTGTGATGTGTTTTTTTTTTATTTTTTTGTGTCTGTTACCACTTTTTCTTAGCTCTTGCTGATCAGATTTGTTTCAACAATACATCAAAAGATCACAAATTGTATCTAGCCGAAGACATTACCCTCAAAAATTGAAAAAATTTCCCTCGTTCCCCATAAATGGGGAAATTTCCAAAAAAATTACAAATTTAAAAATCGCTAATTTTGAACATTTTTTCAATTTTTTTTACTTAAAACTGCCCTAACTTTTTAAAAATGACCAAATCAATATAATTTTTTTTTCTACACATGCACGATGTCTTTACTTATCATTTGGTATATATTTTTTTATAAATCTGACCATTTACATACCCACAGGGAGGGATTTAATATGACAATTTTTTCACAAAAAATTTACATTTTCAACTAATCTTTTGAAAGTGTTTCAGAAAATCTGACACTTTTATATATATCTTAAATTAAAACTACCGTATTTATATACATCTTTCAATTGACATACTTTTTTTTTTAAATCTGACCATTTCCCTATATACGGGGGGGTTCAAATCTGAAAAATGCATATAGAAAGTAGAACTTTTGAAATTTTTCCGGAAAGTCTGACATTTTTATATATATTTTATATTAAAGCTAATGTAATGTTCTTTGTTATGGAAAAAAAAATGTCGGACTTTATTTTGTCTTCACAGTGAAAATGGCTACCAAATGCTATTTTTGTGTGAAAATTCTCGATTTTATATTTTACATTCTTAACTTTATAATGCTATAACTTATTGAAAAGTGTATGGATCAACACAATTTTTTTATGAGAAATAATATTTATATCCCTTTTTCATTCGACATACTTTATCTTCATCAGGATATTAATAAGGAAATAACAGATCATGTAGCTTTTGGAATAATCCACCAATTTTTTAAAATTATACATTATCTGTGCCTCGACCCCCCTGTGCTGGATTTTTTAAACTGAAATTATCAATACTACATTTCAATGTTTCAACTGTTGCATTGATAATTAAATGTAAAACATTAAAATTGAGTGGTTAAAGTTTTATAGAGCTTGAAATATCTTATAATTTCTTTAATAAATTATTAATTAACGTCTAATTAAATTTACCTTGGACATTAAAATTGAAAATTAACCAACAACAAATAAATAAACAATTAAAAGTTTGCTGTAATTTTTTTAAAACAATTTTTGAACTATTTTGTAGTTTTTCTTACAAACTTAAGGATACGTACTTATTGAGTTACAAGAGTTTTAATNATATTTTAATGGCTCGATAACAACTTAAGGATACGTACTTATTGAGTTACAAGAGTTTTAATACTATGAATGGGTATGTAGTGTGGGTAGGTACTGCTTGTATTGGTGTATATTTATGACACACACTCCATTAGTGCTACATACTACTATATATTAAAATGCTTATAACTCATTATGTAATTATCCTATATTTAAGTCAGGAATTTTAAAATTTTTAATAAGTGTTTATATAAATATGTTAAAGCATACATGAATTGTAATATTAAAAATATAGTTTTGGATATATCGACGTGTTTTATATTGCATTTCTGTTTCATGCTTTTCGTGTGTTTGCATAAACAAAAACATTTCAGTAACCAAAATTTATAAAACCCAGCACAGTTGTATAGATGATAACTGACAGTGAAAGAACACTTCAAGCAACTTTTAAATTATTCCAAAAGCCAAATGATTTCCTATTTTTCTATTTATATCCTGACTACATGATTTGTTTTCATATTTATGAAGTATAATACACGAATAAGCACTTATTATAGTAATTGAACTTAGTAAGATATTGATATTGAATAATTTAGTAATGTAATTTTTACGAGGAAGTTATAAAAAATTATAAGGTGTTGTATATATGTGACTCTTTTAATAGTAGCTACTCGATTACTCTTAGAGTAATAGTTATATTAAGAAAATTCTTTTTGGTATTTTTGAATTTTTTGATTTATTAATTAACAAGTTATTTTTAATTTATTTATAGTACTTATTGTGATGTTTTAAAGTGCTAAAAATCTATAATATATATATATATATGTAAATTTTAATTTGTAGTACGTAACATAAGGTTTAGTTTAGCATATGTTTGAAGGACGCAGTATTTCCGAACATTTTCAAAAGTTAAATTTTCATGAAAAGTTGCCATTTTGAATATTACCTGTGGACAGGTAAAGGGCGAGTCTTTTAAAAGTCTCAGAAATATCTAAGGTATTTATACATATAAAAAAGTATATTTTGATTCGTTCATTTTTCAAAATGTTATGACAGTTTTAAGAAAAAGTTTAAAATAATGTCGAAATTTATCGATTTTAAAAATCATATTTTTTTGGCGGTCTTTTCCTATTTACAGGTTACTAGAGACATTTTTTCAATTTTTAATGGCGACATCTTCAACTAAATAAAATATATGATCTTTTGGCGTTACAGAATTATTACATTTTGCTAAATTTGTCCTAAATATTGAGCATACATGCCAAGAATATGATTCAGTTATACAAACCTTAGATTTAAGTTTATTAGAAGATGCGTAAACTTATTGTAAAGTCACCTAACTCATAGTTATCTGATAAAATTAATTAAAAAACCCTTAAATGAAATGAAATTATTATTTAAAATAATATTATTATTTTTGATAGTAATTTAGTAATGCTTTTTCTTTAATTTTTCTATTTTCTGACCAATATTTTACTAATTTAAGAGAAAAACAAATCTACTTCATTAAATTTGATATACTCTATTTTCATCCACTCAAAATTATTCATACAATATTTTGTTAAGTTACTCATGATACAATAGTACAAAAACTCAATAGCCAATACAAATTTTAACTAGTTTATTGCAATATTTATCATGAATTTAAATACAATAAGATTTTGAAGAATATTAAGGTACTCTTATTTATTTGTGCTTTTTTAAAACTAAATAATCATTAAATTAATAATGAAAAACAATTGTTAAGTTTTCAAATTATAACAACTAATTATAATAAAGTTCAAGAAATCAGTTTTCTTAAAATAATTATTAACAGTCAATATAAATTAAAGTTCAAATGAGTAAATGAATAATTCAAATTTTATATCATCTTAGTTCATGAATAATCATACATTTATATTGTATAATATTTATATTACATAATATTTTCAATGCATATTTTTTTATAAATACCTATTTTGAATAATAACAATATAACATTACAAATACCCTAAGTGTTCAATAAAATAAGGTGACCAATAGTTGACCAAATTCTATATAAAAAAAAACAGATCAAGTTTAAGGTACACTAATACCTATGATTGAAAACTATTGGCTTTTTATGTCTATAATCTGATAAAATATAATAAAGTTAGGGAGTTAAAATTACTATGTTGAACACAGTAACATAATATGTTACTGTGTTCATATTGATGTATGTCAAGAAAAAGTAAAAAGGTCATTAAAAATAAGAGAAAGAGAATATTAGTTTCTCAATTATATATATATATATACATATTGTTGAAAATTAATCAAAATATGATACTATTAATTTACATTAAGAAAAAATTATAGTATTATTATGGTTCTCTTTATTTTTGAATGTTAAAAAATGGGCTTGTATGCATTACAAAATAGTGCCTTTTCGTAGATTTTTCAACAAGTGTATTAAAATGTTTAAGTCACAATAGGTAATTTTTAATAATAACATATTAATGGATTAATCACATAAATAACACCTACTAAATTTTTTAATTTAGACAGTGTTGGTCATTATAATATTTGATTATTTTTATACAATTTAAAAATAAAATAAAATATATAATAATAACAATTCTATGTGCACACAAGTATCACAGAGAGTATTCCTAATTTATAGTATGTTCAATATTAATTGCTCAATAAAGGCAAAGAAAGATGATAAAACACATCAATGGTGCCTTCAATGTAAAAGTGTTATTGTTAGTGTAATAATGGAATTATAAAATAAACAAAATTATGTTTTACAATAATTATATATCTTAACAACTCGATATAAAATTAATAATTGTTTAATAAAAAGGAATTTGAGCAATGGAATTTTAAAAAAAAGAAAATAATTACTTCAGCTATTACTTTACTTTAATATTAATTATAAGATTTGTAGACTCCAAACACTATAAACAAAAAAAATGAATAGCACATACAGGTATTACAGCTTTTAACTGATGTTTGATTTTTAATTGAAAAAAAAATAATTTTTTTATAAACTGAATGAATAATAAAAATTTTGATTATGTTTTCGATTTATACCTCAAGTACAAAATAACTTATTTATTTAACATGTATACGATACTTTTTAAAAAACTAAAAATCAATTTATACTCTACATAAAGTTTAAATAAACATTATTTATAATATAAATTATTTTGTGACCATTTAACGTTTAAAAGGTTAATAGTTAAAAACTTAAAATTATCAGTAGAAACGAATAAGATAAAAAGGTAGCGAAAAATATACTTAAAATGAGATTAAAATAAAACCAATTAACAATTTGTTTTATACAATGCAGATATTACGTTAAAAAATTTTAAAATTCAATAACAAGTTATAATAATAAAAAATCGTAACACTAAAATAGCTTAAAATACAGAAAACATATAAAACGTTTCTATTACATTAAATTATACATACTAATGAATATATGCATCAGTATAACACTTAATAAAAAATATGTCATCAGTTTACTCTTAATCTTTAATGCAAACGTTTGTACGGAGGTTATTTCATTCAGTTAGTCCATTAAGTCCTGGCTGACCATCATCCGCTTGATCTTGGCTAATCCCAGCTCCGCTATTCAATGCCATTTTTTTCATTTGGCGTACTACCGTTGTAGCATGGTATGCTTGCTGAAAAATAAAAAAATTTAATGGAAAATTAATGCCCAACATTTCAATAATTTAATTAATTTATGTAAAAGATGATTGTTTTTCACCTATTTTACTAACACGCACTATTTTTGTTTACATATACTATCTATCAACACGTATTCTCATAATTCAGTGCAAAAAAAAAAAAAAATACCAGTGATCACACTCAAGATGCGTTTATCCCGCTAATTATGAAAAAGTAATTGAGGTAATTGATTGAAGAATAATTCTCACATTTTTGTACTCATTTACAGTCATTATAATTTGCATACATATTACTTTTATTTGTAGCAAATTATCCAAAGGATTTAGATGTATATTACTAATATTTCAATTATAATACTAGTAAAACTAATGATTTTAACAGAATTTTATAAATTGCATAGTTAAATTAAATAAAGAAATTAGATAGTGTTTAATTTAAAAAAACACTTTAAAGTTAAGTTAAAAATGTTAATTTTTTGTGAAAAAGTTGTCATTTTAAATCCCCCCTGTCGGTAGGTAAAAGGTCAGATTTATAAAAAAAAATATACCAAATGATAAGTAAAGACATCGTACATGTGTAGAAAAAAAAATTATATTGATTTGGTCATTTTTAAAAAGTTAGGGCAGTTTTAAGTAAAAAAAATGTTCAAAATTAGCGATTTTTAAATTTGTAATTTTGTTGAAGATTTCCCTCATTTACGGGGAACGAGGGAAATTTTTTCACTTTTTGAGGGTAATGTCTTCGGCTAGATACGATTTGTGATCTTTTGACGTATCGGTTCGGTGAGAGCTGAGAAAAAGTGGTAAGAGACACAAAAAAGAAATAAATAAATAAAAAAAAAAAAAACACATCATAGTAAAATTAATACCTTCTCAGCTTGGAATCGAAGCTAATAAAATTGAGAGAAGACCTTAAGCTACATGAAGTTTTATTTTCTTAAGGTATGTAAATTATACTTTTAAATATCAGTCTTGTAAAAATATTGAAATACTTGTATTTATATACTATTGTTCGAATACTTTATTAATACTCTAAATAATTCATAAATAGTTTTATAAAAATATATTTTGAATACTTTAAGTAGTATTTGTAATACATAATAATTTTCATTTTTGATTGTTATTTTAAAATTTTATTATTAAGACAAGTGCATGCATAAACAGAACATTTTTTTAGAAGGGTTATTTTACACTATTTCTGCTAGTATTAGATCTATTTTTCAGCCAACAACTTGTTTTTATAATTACCAATTTTGGCCATTGTTTTTATACTTTTCTTGTATAAGTGCCTGCATTTAGTTAGAATTGACAAAATGTTTTCATGAAAATATAATGTAGACTTATATTTTTAATAATTATTAGAATGTAAACATTATATATTACAATTATAGTTTTTTGTTAGTATGAACAATATACAGTATAGTGTTATATAGAGTATAAGTACTTTTGTGTAAAAATTTGTGATTTTCACCAATTATTTCTCTAAAAAAAGGAAAAATAATGTAAAGTAAAGTAAAGTAAAAAAAAAAAAAGAGTATTTAAAGTATTTGGTATATTTTTGTTTATATTGTATTCGAATACTTATTCCAAATATATTTAAAATGAATGTTAAATATTAATTATATTGTTAAATGTATTAACGTTTATTTTCATTTGACAAAAAACAAATTATTTTAATTATATTTATTCACTGTAACACAGTCATTTTTAAAACAATAAATTAAAATAAATATGCTCAACCAAAAAAAATTTGTATTTATGTTTTGCTAACATAAAAAACCCTTCTTAAATTATTGCTACATAAAATTTCAATTGAAGTTTATAAATTTACCACAAGTGAATTAGACACACCTCTGCGCTTTACTAACACTATTTTTGTATTACAATATTTTACTAGTAATTAAACATTTAAACGATACATGATTGTACAGTGTAATGAATCAATTTTAGTTTAGACACCTGAAGCTTATTTTCCCTTATTAGGGCAAACTACATTAACGACAACACCAGTGCAAAAATTAATAATATGATCGAGATATATTTGAACTAAATGTCTTCTTAGCGACGCGTGTAGGGCATTTTTAAAAAGTGTACTAATTATTAATTTAAAGCAAGAATAAGAGTCATGGCTTAGTAAGGTTGTAGTTGTTAACAAGACTAACAGCTAATGTATACTAATATTTCATCTATATTAAAATCACTATTAAATCTAAAATATTTTTCAAGCGGATGACACTGCACTAGATAACTAATTATAAAGACTACTTAGCTGTGTATAAATATATATATATATAATCTATATAATTTTTTTTTGAAACAGCATGCATTAAAAATACGAATTAATTCATAATGACGTGTACAACTGTCTGTGCAATGAGTTTCCAAAGATTTTCCTATAAAGTATTAGATAAAACAAAAAAATATAAGAACAATGAAATCAGGATTCATCTATTAAATAATACTTCATTTAAAAATAAATTTATACAGAATAGTAGTTGAGTCTTCATTTTGAATCATAATATAAGTAAATTAAACATAAAATCTTAGAAATTTATTAGGTCTGTTATATTATTATTAGTTACATATTTTAATACATATGATATTAAATTAATTATAAAGTTGTGTTTATTTTACAACTCATATAAATTATTGTTAAGTTAATCGGTATATGTTAATAAATCATAAGACATATTTATATACATAGGCGGAAAACAGACGTCGGTCTATGATCATATGTTTTTAAAAACTTGCATTTTGCAAGATTAATTTTAAGGGTACTACTATTTGAACATTTATGTAGAATCAGAAAACATTTTATTTTACTCTATTCTCTTTGAGTTTCCGCCTATGCAAACTATCTCTATAAAAAGGGTAAGTGACTTATTTAAACGTGTTGTTCGTTTATGCAGGTTCATTGGTAAAATCCAATTAAAGTGATCCACTTACACTAGTAGGAAAACTCATTAATTTTTCAACTACTTCATGCAATAAACCCAAAGTAATCTAATAAATATTTCAGTACTTGAGTACATAATACTCCCTTTAATAGATTAAAATTGGGTGACATTGGTAGATTATCCAGATGAAGTGACGTATTTACCCTAAGGCTACGGAGACCATAGCTAGGAACGGCAGATTGTTATTATTGTATCATAATTTTATTAAAAAAGAGATATTTAACGAATAAAACCAAAAATACAACTTAATTAGTCGTTAAATGAACAAAAGTGAAATTAAGTTAATGTAAAATATAAATATGTATGTTAAGTTAAAAAGTTTATATCATCAATATAAAATTAAATTAAATTCAACTTATGAACTTGTCCACCTTGTAAAAAAAAATTCTACTTTGTTATTTAAATTAAAATTATTTTTTGAAGAACAAAAGAACTAAAAAAAAATTTTTTATTCATGTTCTTTTAAGATTCCTTCATTAACAGCTAAGATTTGAAGAAAGTTAACTAATTTTTTTTTATCATACTGTTATAAGTATTTTTTAAGATTAAGGGGGTAATAAAATATTTATCATTAAAAATTTGAAAGTAAAATTTAAAAAACATTTCATATAAACCAACCTCATTTTTTTTCATATATTTTTGACTTTGTAACAAAATTTAAATATTAAAAGAAATTCGCTAAAAATGTCCGACTTGATCTTAAAAAAAATTGAAATGACAATCATTTGTTTAAGAGAATCAAAATTTTAACATTTAAATGTAGAAATTGGTATTTTTTATTCTTATGGTTTTATTTCATTATCAAGTATTTTAAAACATGACTGTCCGAATTATTAAAGCGGGTAGTTTGTTCACTCGAAGACCTTTTTTCACTAGGCCTCAATAGTTCAAAGGAGGGTGGTAAAATGTAGAGCCCGAGACGTCGAATTTTGAAATACGCCACTATCCGGATGCCATAAAAAACGTTCAGTTTGTTGGAAGTTTTTCAAACATTTTTAAAATTGACGAAATAGTTGATAGATTAACTTGATTAAAATTGCATGTAAGCTTAAAACTCATCATCATTTAGATTAGATCATAATTTCATGGTTTTACGTTGTTTTATTTCAGCGATAATGGGAAAATGTTTTTTAGTATGAATAATTTATGTGATTACAGAATGACAAATGATGAAAAATTGATGATTACCTCTCTTCTCGCTATAGAATAGTTTGTTCGCCTATCATATTATTATTATTCGTATTATTGTTATACGTTGAAATAATTGCAACGAATAACCATACATACTATAACCTATTATATTAAAGTATTTTCACTTTAATCGGATTACCCATAAAATACATTTTATGAAGGACACTCACGAAAGCTAGCTAGAAATACAATTTTTTTCTCTAGATTGGATTATACACTATAAAACACAAACATTTGTTTTAATAACGTTTTGTAGATTAGATAGTTCTACCTTTTGCACCATAACTATTATCTCCTTCATCGTTAGACTCATAGGAATCGCCTTCGTATTCGATTTCGGCTTCCTCTACTATAGTGGTGCACGTCTGTCTGCCCGTAACGGCGGGCACCGCACCCGATGAGGCGTCAGGGTCAGCATCTGACACGGTCATCGCTAACCTCTGCATTTTGTGCACCATCGTTATGGCGTTCATTAATTGCTGTAAACACATACAGACACACACACACACACATTCACACATTTACATTATCTTAATTGTCAGTGGAATACAAAAACAAATTTCGCTTTGGGTAAGCTACCTAGTGTATGACAGTTAATTATCGTCAGGTATTTTAAATTGCGCTCGAATGTTACCATAGTTAAACAAATAAATTATTCAAATTTAAATAATGCGCGAATACCTTGAACCTGTCAAGGACACTTTTTTTTATATACAATAATACAATATTATACTAGTACCTTCCATCTCGATTTAGCGAAATTCTTTTTAAGTTGTGCCGAAACGGTTCCGTGGATGTTCTTATTGCTAGCCGCGTTACCGGATATCCTAAAATTAAACCACATTTAGTGTACAACAGCAACGGATGCGACGGTCGTTACGGAATAAACGTATTATTATATTGTGAAATTATATGTAAAATGATGACACTTACCAAGGATGTGCTAGAGCTTCGCGGCAAGTGAACCGTTTGTCTGCATCAACACACATAAGCTGCCTAATGAAGTTTTTTGCCGAATCACTTATGTCGTCCCAATAAGGAGAGTCGAACTCAAATTCACCTGTTATTCACAAAGTTGAAAATAGTCAAGTGAATAATTGTAATGGAATTTCATGAATATTATTTACTTATCGTCTAAATGAGCATCAAGTAATTAATAATATCACAAGAAAAAAAAACCTAGAAGAATTAGTAATGTAATTTGTTAATTTAACTTGTACATTTTTGAAGTAATACAACAAAATATATATCGAGTTAATGAATTCGAAGAATTGTCAATTAAATTACAAAGAACTAATTCATTTTAATATCCATTTATTGATAAACTAATTTTAATCAAAATTAATTTGGGCTGTTTTTTTTTTAATTACATAGAATTTAAGTAATCGATTAACCTTTTAAAATTTGCGCGAAAAGATTAGCATCATTTTCGTCATAAAAAGGCGGATAACCACATAAGAGAATGTAAGATATGACACCGATGCTCCAAACATCAACTGCTTTTCCGTATGGTTTTTGTGCTAAGACTTCTGGAGCTGAAACAAAAATAATTAAAAGATTACTTAAGAACCAAAAACTTTTGATATGAAAGTAAATCTTCTATATTATATAAGGTAAATCAATTAATTTTTAAAAATATGACAAAAAGTTACAATGGTAGTCTCAGGTGATACCAACGTGTCAAATGAACGCTCTCAATGATTGATTGCACTATGTAAACGACTGCAGTGCGGTAAACAACTTGTTTTATAAAATCATTACACTGAAAGTTTAAATCATTACACTGAAAGTGTAATGATATGAACTTTGATTTAGCAATCGTATTTCTGCATAATGATATTAACCGCCAATGATTGTATGTAATCGGATTACGGAGATATATTTATCGGCCGCCGCATTGTCAAACGTAACATATATCGGCTTTATGATGAACAGTGTCGTTAATGACCATTAATCGTTCATACTCCTGAATTCCTGGTACCGAATCTGTATATATATATATATATATATATTTTATTACCAAAAATATTTCTCAATATTTCTCAATGACCGTTATCTAAAATACTGTCCACGCCTTCTGAATCCCTGGTACCATTTTCCCAATTTTTTTTCCGGTGGTCGTCCCACGATAACGTTTATTATATCGGTTTGGTTGCCTATACAAGACGCCTAACAAACTGTGTAATTCAATATTATCCAAATAATTCCATGCAACACCACACTATTAGTTTAAATATATTTATTTATTTATATTATATTAATATATTTATTTATTTTTAACTGCTCGTGGACACATATGATATATTTCATTAAACACAGCATGTTGTATAATAGGAATCTGACCTTTTATAGATTGTGTAGTTCTGTGATTAAGTGTATTGTAAAAACAATAGCGGTTTTAAATAGAAATTATATAGTTTTTCATTCGATCATCACGCGTAAATTCACTATCATTAAATTAGTGGATCGTTCGAATGCGTTCATCATATTATCTTTTTAAGCCGCTGTTCTCATTTTCAATAATGAAAAATAATCAGATAATTGGAATGGAGTACAATAAGTTTAGGTAAATGTTTAATAAAGACACTTGGCAAAGGTTCATTTGATTTGAAAAGTATGTTAAGTTTATTACTTATGAATAAATTTCCAAGAATGATAGCAAAAAATAAAAAGTGCTAACAAACACTTCATTTTCACTAATGATGTGATTTTTATTTCCAGAGAGTATTATAAGAAGTACGTTAATAATTAAATTATTTTGTATTTCTCTTTTCCCCGACTATTCTGTTTTATTCATTGAATGCCAAACTTTTTTTAACAACATTGTTTACTCAATAAGTTTTATTTTTATGGTTTAGTATTTTCCTTCTCAGGTAAAATGTTAAGTTTCATTTATTATTGTAAAATCACAAGTATACTTGGAAGAGGCGTTGAATGGATGGTTTCTTTAGTGATTTTTTCCAAAAATAATTTTTATCTTTTTCAAACACTTCCTTTTTAAACCTTTCTAATTATTTCAATTTCCCTTTGAAGTGATATATGTTTATTCCTAAAAAAAGGATATGTTATCATGTAATATATATATATCCTTTCTCCTGTATCCCAATCTATCAGTACTCGACTTCAATGGGGTATAAAAGATGCACGGTTTTACTTTACTTAAAAGAAAAAGTAGGTTTTTATGCTTCAAGTCGTAATACTCAAAACGAGTTGGAAAAAGTATTTTAATGGTGTTATAATACACGTAAATAAAATAAAAAATTCTGGTGAGCTTATATTATGTTTCTTCCAATTTGAGTTTATGCGTTTACAGTTTCAATCTATCTGAGAGGGTCCACTTACCCTTAAAAGTTTTACTGTACACTTTTAGTTAAAAAAAAAATAATAATAACTGTGAAGTTTTTTTTTTCAGTAAATAAATATTCAACGTACCAACATAACCAGGAGTACCACAGGCCGTTGCCATGACTCCAGAGTCTTCAATTTTAGACAGACCAAAGTCACTGATCATGATTTTACTGTCTTCATCTGTACTGTAGTACAATAGGTTTTCAGGCTGAGAAAAAAAATATTAATCACGCGAATAATTTCATCTGGAATAATATTCAGTTAGGAACTCACTTTCAGATCCCTGTGAACCACACCCTGTTCGTGCATGTAATCCACGGCTTCTAACACCTGTCGGATCAAATGCGCTGCATCTTTTTCGGTATACGATCCTTTTTGAACAATTCGGTCAAACAATTCACCTCCGGTAACTCTGAACAATCATAGCAGGTCATTAGTAATACAACTGAAAACTCAAGGGATATATCCATTGTATTTGAATCTAATGTAAGATGGAGAATAGAAAAAACAGGTTGCTTTTGCGATTTAACACAAGTACGTGGAATTAAAAAAAAGAAAAAGCACAAAACAATGGAAATATTATCTCATTCACGGAAAATATAGATAACATGAAATTAAAATTGAGAAAACATCAAAAGAATTCTTTTAAACGGGCGCAAACGCCGTCTCTCATTGAACTTATAACGGAACATCAAATGTTTATTATTTAAGAGTTAATCATTATGATAAATTCACTAACGATATTAACATTTATAATTGTTTGTGTTTACTCGATACTCGCTGAAAAAAAACAATAGTTTATTGGTCATTAAAACGATTTACAGGCACTTATTTTGATGTAAAAACAATGAATATATATTATAAAAAATCACCTTTAGCTGCTATGCCTTTAAATTGTAGTTATAAAAAAAGAAAATAAACGCCATTACAATGATCATTGTCCTTCAAGACTTAAATTAATGAGTCTATATAACTTAAAAGACGTTTTCTGCGCATAAACGTATGTTGCGTAATTAAGTTTTGTTTACTTAAATTAATTTTAACGCCGAAATTGAAATTCTTAGTTGTTACGGTCTTTACTTTTCATTTTGTAAACACAAATTATAGAAATTAATCCACTTGACCCAATAAAAGATCTTCTCGTTTTTTTCCATATAAATATATTCATTGAATAAAAATGGGCCAACGGTAAAATGCAGTAATTAATATTACTAATTAATTTTAGTTAATTACTTACAGCTCCATAATCAAATAAACTTTGGACTTGTCTTCGAATGTTTCCAATAACTGAACAATGTTTGGATGAGTTAGCCTGTAAAAAAAAAAAAATACACATAAACTTTATATAATTTCAATGAAAATACTTATGAAAAATTGTAGTCACATAAAAATCAGTATTCGATTATTATGTCAGAGTTTATGTTATTAAAAAATATTTTATAAAAAGCAAGGCAAGCAGTTTATTGTTTATTGTTAAAAATAGTGAACGTTAAAAAAAATGCTCAAATCCTATTAAACGATCGGTGTCAGAGTATATTGGCGATTTAAATCAATCGACGAGCAAAGTGTGAGGCGAAATCTCCCGTTAGGTGGGTGAAGCAGAATGAAGCATAATAAATCCACCAAATTGATATGACTAATGAGAAATGAAATACTGGGAGTAGAAAATAATGAAAAATTGACAAACATTTTGTCATTTGTTATTTCCTGTAAACAAATAAATTCATCGAGAGAATTCCAACCCGAGAGCTGTCACGAAGAAGATTGATGTATTTGCATGGACCTCTAGCGTACTGGGTAGCAAAAAAGGGAGGATGTGAAAAAATGTAACCCTATTAAATACTGCATATGAATAAGCTAACAATTATAATATAGAAATAAATGAATTGCGGTGTTATTAAACAAATGTATCACAAATGACGTGCCCGAATCTCGCTTTTATATTCTTCGTGGCATACTTTAAACCAATATATTCTAAAAAACAAATGACCATTCCTATGTAGTCATAGCCAACGCACAGATTACATCTAGCAGGGTCCGTGATAAGTCAAGCATATTGAGCACTAGCTGACTGGCTTAAGACGGTTCTTATCGCCATACTATCTTTAGATGCAGGGTTGTTTTTTTTTTCATTTTATAGATTGCGCTTGCCTTTTTTTAAATTACATCGTTAAACCTAAACTATATATATATATTCAACGAGAAAAGAATTGTGTCGCAATTTTATAATACCGCCGCATTAGCATTTACAACTCGCGAAGTAAACAGTCGCAGTACTTATATTACAATAACAACAAGAAAGGGGATTGACTAAGCCAAATGTCGTCTGTGTCATGTTGTATTGTTTTATTTTAACAATCGCTTTTGTTATCTTCGATTACACCGCGATAGATATGGTAATAAAAATCATAGTAGATATACACGAAGCGCCCGTAAAAAGCGAATACATTATGTCAATCAGTCAGACAATTACTCGGACAAGAGATAGAAAAACAAATTAGTTTTCGTTTTAAAAAAGTAATCGATGATCTAACGCGGAACTGCAAAAGTCGCCGACCAATCAACCGGCATTTGTACCCGAACGAACTTTTGAATTTCAATTCCTTCGTACCCTCATAATAACAGCCAATCCAATTACTGAAAGATAGAAGTGAGCTTGGACGGAAATAGTCGTAGTAATTTTGCAGTGTCAAAAGGCCAACCCAACCGTTGCAATGGCCTAATGTGTTTAATTTGCACATTATTTTCGCCAGTATTCCAACGTGTATACCTTTGGAAATAAATACGCGTATGAAGTTGTCTAGGCGACCACACACGCGAGAAGAAAGCTACAAAATAAATTATAATACTAAATAAATCTTAATGTACAACCCCACATACATTACCATTACCGCATTACCTCCATTAAGTACTCCGCCAAAATGTTATAAATAGGATAAACGTGTAATATATCATTTTAACATACAAAATACTAAAATACTGATTTATGTCTGATACGTTTAATTGTAACTATGCAAATTGCTATGGGCTGGTAGGCCACTTAATACTAAACTTAACATACAGAAATTTCTAAAAGTCTAAAATATTTTTTTAGGGGACCAGAGGTGTACTTAAATTGGTATAAATGAGAAAAGTGTCGAACACAATCTATATATTTGAGCGTCGATTATATTATTGATACAGATTAGATTTGTATGAGACATTGGGAATGCGCTGTATATAATTGTCTTAGGTTATTCGCAGCCATTGTTATAGATCTGTTAAAAGTTATAGAAAAAAACAATTTATTCGAGTCTTTAAAATCAAGTATTGAACTATTTTAAATATATTCAAGTATATATATATTGAATAAAACAAGTATAGTTTTTCTTATTATTTAGATGTAACTTTTGGATAAAAATATTCAAAACTGTTTGTGAATTTCCTATAAAATGTAATAAGAAAACTCATAAATACCGAACAGCGTTGAGTCGAAGAGGTATCTAGTTAAAAGTAGATAATATTCTGTTAACGAATAAAAAAAGGCTTTTATCATTCGAGTTTGCATCCTAAAGAGGTCAAGTCATATGCAAATAGCAAACGCTCATGTATGACGGCCTACAGGTACGGGTTGTACACACAAAGTAACTATAATATTATACCATGGTCTTCAAGAGACACCTATTGTTAACAGTTAACACCGTTAGACCAGACCTTGAGGTCATAAATCATAATAACTTTTTTTTATATATTTTTTCCACGGCTACGGGTCACAAAGAAAATTTATACGGCAATGATGTATTGCCGTCAAATACCAATGCAGGTACATCGAAAAATGCATTTTAAAGTCAAAAAAATTAAATAGTCATTATGCGGTAGATTTTATTAATTAACTTTTCGGTGACACAATAAAAGTTCTTTGTTAAAAGGAAAGATTGAATTTTTTAATTTACTTTGGTAATTCCTTTTTCAAGGTAGTGCTGTTGAAAATCGTATACAGACAAATTGAAAGAAGTATTACATTGTTAAAATTAATAAAAAAGAAATTTAATATCCCACCACAGAGTTATAAATTATGTAAAATTAGCATATTCATTCAGAATATATTCGTTAAACTTTCTTTCATTTAGTAATAATATAAAATTGTTTAATAAAATAGTCGATACATGTATTTTATCATTGACGTTATATTTCTTTATTACTCGGATAAATCGTCTAAAGGTAAATCACTGTTATTTTTACTTGATCATTTTAAAAAAGAAATTATTAATAAAATGGTATTGCAGAATTTCGTAAAAATTGTATTTCTCACTTTTTAGAATGAACTACTGGATATAAATTGATGTTATCACGGTGATTGTTTTAACACTAGCCACTTGATTTCTCTTAAAATAGTAATTATGTTCAGGAAATTCATTTTGGCATTTTTTAGTGCCATATATGTCTTCATTTATCATTTATCAGTTATTAATTATTTTTTAAATTCATCCTTTATGTTTTGTAAGGATGTCAAATTAATTCTTTTAAATAACAAAATATAAATAGCTTGTAAAATAAAAAATAATTTTGCCAAGAAAATAACTGGTCAATAACCACTTTTGACTCATTATTTTGCAAATAATTATCATTTTAGGACTGGAGGTGAGGCGCGTGTATGACATTATTTATTTGATATTTATTGAAATCGAGTGGGAAGCGTTAAAAGAATTATCCTTTTTATACTGTGTATACTCATAGGTTATCTTAAAACCTTATTTATTCATCACATTTATGTGTATGAATAAAATATTCTTTGTTTTAATATATTTCATTAATTATATTATTATTTCCAGTAATTTTTTTAAGAAGTAAATCTGTTACCGTAACTAATTGGACTAATACGACACATAATTGAAATCGGATCAAATGGACAGACATATATAAAATTAAAAACAGTAATGGGTAAAAGGTAACTCGCTGAAAGCAATAATATTAAAAGTCACTATAAACTGGCTGATATATTTTCATATTAAAACGGAGATTCAGTATCTCAGGCAATTATTTAATAATATAATAACTTTCCGTTAGCTTAAATACTTGTTGAAAACCAGTTGAAATGCATTTTGAATTCTATAGACTATTTGAATTGATGCGAATATTTATCGGAAAAAATCAATTTAGTTATGTTCTCGCTGAAGAAACTCGCGTACAACGAATGCGACGAACAAGATAAAAAAATATATAACATTACCGCCGGTCGACTTGAAACAATGTTGTGTCAACATACTGAACGACATTAAAAACGCTATAAAATCGTACACTTTAAATGAAAGGTTCTATGTGATGACCGGCATAGCTGCGGAGTATGGTCACTTTGCATGAAATTCGCGTTCAAAAAAGGGGGCGTGTGGAATTTCGGAACTTCCATTTTTAGCGGCAAAAAACGGTCATTTGCAATGTTCGAAGTACGCACGGTTGCTCATGGAATAAAATAACTACCTGGATGGCTGCTCACGGTGGTCATATCGATTGTCTACGGTATGCTTACAAAATGGCTGTCAGTAGAATGAAATCACTACTAGATATGCTGCTCAGAATGGCCAAATGGATTGTTTAAAGTTCGCGCACAGGAATGGTTGTCCTTGGGACTTGACTACCATCGGCAAGGCAGAGAAATACGGTCACTTAGAGTGTTTGATATACGCACGTGAAAACGGTTGCCCTTGGCGAAAGAGAACCGCTAAAAAACCTAAATCATTTGACATGTGCACAGGAAACAGACGTCTCCGAGTTTCTCGTGTCCACAAGTGATGTTCATAGAAATTGGATTAGGAAAAATATCCTCTTCTTATATTCAACAATGTATTTACGAAGAAGAATACCATGTTTGCATTTGAAGAAAAACACCTTTCTACTTTCAACTAATTGAAGAATATTTTCAAGTGCATAAAGCGCTTGGATAGATTATTAGGATAGATAAAATACGATTATGATTTATACATCGATTTTCATTTTTTTTTTTTTATATAAAACGTAATCTTCGTAGAATTTCCAATAAAATTATTTATTTGAGTAGTAAAATCTGTCAGATACTAAAAACGTTATAGTAAACTCTAATAAAAATTGTAGTCTCACACCTAAATAGTACAAGCTGTAAATTATTACTTTTTTCTCGGTTTTATTGCTGTTGTGACTAATTTAATTTTAAACCAACTATGAAGCATTTTTTTAAATTAAATTTGTACATGCATACATGAAGTAAAAATACGAAACTCATAAATTTTTAATACATTCGAAATAACATGACACATTTTTTCTCGAATAATGTAAAACAATCATAAAACGTTTATCCGTATCATTACAATTATTTTGGTTATTACAATTTTATTCATTACAATTATTTTATCGACATTTAATGTAAATAAAGGATCATATTCTTTTAAAAACAACAAAGTATTTAGAATTCTCTCGAATGTGAAAAACGTACACAATTTATGATTTTTACTGGTGAAATTAATAAAACTCATACAATGTTTCCAACACATATAGTTTACCAAAGACATTAGTGACAGTTGTGGATGTACATTTTTTAAAGGGAAAAATATTACTATTTAATAAAATAATGTGCTGTTTCAAATTATTTGTCATATACGTATAAAGTTAAATATTAAAAAATACATATGAGAAATTTAGATTCCATTTGATAGAAGGCGTAAGACCATAGAAATATCAAATTAAAAATACATTCATAACCTTTTAACGATTTGTTTAAAATTAAAATTGTTTTTTAAGAAATTGTATTTCTACTTATTGTATAAATGACTAATGTTTATGTAATTCATTTTTTGTATATCTTGTGAAATTGGTACTATTTTATAATGTAACTTATTTTTAATAAAATAAAATAATGTTTCTTCGATATAAACATAAGACAGAATAACAACAGATGTATGGTCAAAAAAATCTTCCTTGTTGTTGTTTTATAATTGATCAATTTCAGTTAATTAAAATTTTAGGAAGCGACAGCAAATAGAATTAATAGAAATCTAAATTTGAGGAGGTCTAAAGTGATATTAATGTAAGATTGTAAAGTTTTAACTTCTATCGAAAGTTGAAAATGATTAAAAAATATCGAAGTCACTCTAATCCATTAAGTTACTTAATTACTTAAGAGATTAACACTTTCCATAAAAACTAACTGTTTCTCTAGATAAAATATTTTAAAACTTTCTTTTTCCATCGAAAATTTAATCAAGAATTAGATCTAAATGATATTACTTTTAAAATCCCAATTTAAAAAAGTTTCTACGAAAATACTGCAACCAAATGATATTGTTTTGAAATCAAAGTAGTTTAATGTGTGAATCAGATTTATATTTAGAGTATACTCTACTGATATACCATACAGTTATTTAATTTTAAGTTGTAAACGGATATTACCTTTTTAAAGAATTTAATATATTACTGTGTCATAACTGTTAAACGAACTGCAAGAGTTTAGGAAGTAGTTGTAGATGATTGTAAAATATACATAATTAACTTGGTAAGAAAACAATTTGAAAGATGCGTGCAGACATAGCAATTTACATAACAACTGCATTTATCTGTCTCGGCAATGGCCATTAAAAAGTAACATGCTTATAAGTGCAACAACTATAATTTTTCATTATTTAAACTATTTAACAATACTTTTCCATAGAAAACAACCAATTGTTCAGAACAATTTTCAAATGGTTTTAATTCCTTAACATAATTCAAAAGTTAATCCTAAATGCTAATGATGTATAAAACCAGGAGCTTTTTAATTTATGATAATAGATACAGTGTGGTCGCTTATTTAAAAAAAGATATTTCATTGGAGGGCTACAACGCGATTAAATGGTATATACTTTAACGTTTTTATTTTACTGAAAAACTATTACCATTTTCTAGTTTCATTATTTGGAATGTTTAACGAACAAATAAAATTTAAATTTTAAAGGATTTTTAAAAACTCGTATTTTTTTTTTATATTTCAATCAACCTAAAACAGTATTGTACTTTAATGCTTTATCAAATTCATAAAAATTATGACTATATTATGTTATTTTAATTTAATTTAATTAAATACGAAGTCATGAATATACTTAAAATTCACCATACTTTATAGTTCTAGAAAACTTTTAAAAATGACTAAATTAAACTGAGTAAACAACTGATGGAATAAAAAAATTTTAGTTACAAAAGTTGAAATATTAATGAAAATTTCAATTGAATTAAGAATGCTTAATTATAATATTAGGTACATTAACAAAATTAATTACTTTTCAGTTGAAGACGATGCGTCAAGTAATGTACCTTAAAAGGAATGGGAGTTGTTTTAAGTATTTTGTTTATCTGGAAATAGACAATGGATTTTGTCACTCTAAATTATAACATACGCATATAAACTTTATTAACTATTAATATTATGTGAATGTACATCGAAAACATTAATACATACAATTAAGAATTTATGTGATATTCAGCTTTATATATACACAGAATGATTTATATGAGATGATACGCATTATTTTGTAGTTATTTAGTGATAAGCTTAAACAAATTCGCCAAAAAAATCAATAACATAAAGTTTATTATAAGTCATAAGTTTTCTATAAAAAAATATACATCTAAAGGGCACTTCTTAGGCGTAACTTTTAATATTCATATAGAGATATCTATTTTTATATTATTTATTAGAGTAATTGATGAATTCAAAAGATTTGAACTGATTTAGGGCCAGTTTTTTTTTTATATCACGTTTGAAGATTAATACATGGCGTATAGTGGAGTTGTGTTTAGCTCGATTATTATCAAAAAATATTGATGGAAATAATATTATTTTGCGCAACCTTCTCACTATACGTACAAATATTATTAAGTCAAAAATGTTTCTTCCGACTTTCGGCAAAAATTATTTAAAACATAATTTGCATCGCAATATTTAAGAAAAATTGGTAATAAATAAAAGTTTTTTTTTTTTATATTCTTGACGGATAAAAAAAGTTTTTATGGTGAAAAAATGTAAATGACAAGTACTAAAAAGATAAAAAAACGAAAAAGAAAATCTTAATTTATTCATAATTGAAGTTTAAAGATTAGAGGCGATATATTAAATAATCCATAAAAAAGCTTAACAACTTCCAATCAACAAAATATACACTACATAATAATTGGACACTAGTTACAATAATGTTGTTGCTTATGACTGATATGCGCACAATCACGTTAGTCTCATGCATTTATCACCAGCGACTGTTAAAAACAAAATATTATGATTGTGTGTAATGACACTTATTATTGATGAGTTATGTTAGTAAATTAATTAAGTACAGTTATTTTCGGAGAAAGAATCTTTCTTTATCAGATATCTTTCTGAAAGATATCTGATAAAGCCGTTGCCGGTGTCCGTGAAAAGTATAAGCTGGTATTAATGTGAGCACAAAAACATATTAGACTAAACACCTTCAACGTAATGTACATAAGCCCTTAAACCTTCACCATCGACTCACCATTTACTCTCGTTCTTATCGTCGGGCCCTGATTGATCACTTCTCTTCACGGACTTACTGAACCTAAGTGTAAATACAAACTATAATACATGAGTTTTTCCAGGAAGGTTCAAGCTTAATTATTTAACGTTTTCATAAACAAAGTATTGTACGTTAACAATAAACAGACAAAATAAACAACGAGCACCTAATGACGATGACTTCAATTGTCTTTGTGTCGGTTTAGGTAAATATATCATTAGTCATTATCGTAATTTTCGCAGGTATTTACTTACCGTCGTCTCAATTCAAAAACGCTATTTAAATAAAATGTTTTAGTATAATAAAAGCGTTACTTCGTAACCACCTTTTGAAATTCAAAAGTTTTCTCTTTATCGACGCACGACTTATAAAGGTAAAAACAAAAAATAAAGGGAAACTTCTTCCTGAAATAAGAAAAAACTGTTGTCGAATTTCAATTAGCATTAACTATTCCACTTATTATTTTGAAATTGAAGTGCATAGTTTATAGTCAAACTTAGTTGGTGGTATAGGGCACTATAGTTAAAAAAAATATTTACCCCTCCGAACAAATTGCCGGGTGCACTATTGATTCAAACAGAGTTGTAACCTGCGATTGTATTTTCGTAAAATATCATTTATGTTTGGCTTGTGAAGCGATAGGTAATACAACTTAGCGCGCGAGTAACCGAACAATGTTTTTTCTCAGAAAAAAAAGAAGGATAATCACACGAGTGGATCTGGAGCTATTCCAGCAAAACGTCTATTGATGATCGCTGTATTAAAAACATTTATAAAATATTTTCGTTAATGCAGCACAACCATAAAAACAAGGGCAGCAATAAATTAGACCGTTGATCTTTAGGTTAGACATGTTTTCTTTGTTATCTGCATAATGAGATAATAAAATATATATAATGATGATGCTATCATTTAATAAAACTGGCAAGGGTGAAGACAAACGATTTAAAGGAGTGGTGTGCATAATATACGCGACAAGACGTCAACAAATGAAATACGTTTAAAATCTCTCTCTCTCTCTCTCAAAAAAAGACGTAAAATAAATTTTCCTAATAATTTTCTCGTCTTTCGTTTGAAATCGCAGTAAACATTTAAGTTCAGCAAAAGCTAACGCATGTATTTTTAAAAACGTATTTTATGGTAACACTATTATTTTTATGCAGATTCATTCAGGGGATGATTGCATTATGTTATATCACTTGAAATTTTATTTGTGTTTTGAGTTAAAACAATTAAATAAACCTTTAAAAAATGTAATTTCAGCTAGGCCAAACATTATTTGACCTTCCTAAAATAAACTTTTATTTCAAACCATTTCTCAAAATATTAATAAAAATTGTATTGTTGTGGTTCAGAAACCAAAATTACACATAATTATTCTATCCAAACAATAAACATAATAAATTTAATAAATATTTGCACTTATTATTTCATATATTTATTAGTCAAATAGAGTAATAAAAATGATTATAATTTATTTATACAGATATATGGATAAATATTTGTTGAAAAATAGTGTTAAAATAAAATAATAATAATATATATATTAAGAAATAAATCCATAGTAAATTACTTGGAAAAATTCGCTAGAATAGGATTGATATTATGAATATTAAATAAAATATAATCTTTGAAATTTTAGACTTATAGAGGATTTGTTAGGATTACTTAAAATAAGAAAAACGTAGTAGTATTTATATAGATATGATATTGATAAACTCACATCTGTTTTACCTTTTGCGAAAAAAAGTATTCAAGTATTAAAACCTTTATAAGTCTTTGACACATTTTGTGAACCTAAAGGAGTTAAGACCTGAAATATATCAGCTGGTGTCACAGCCTATTTTCAGGTATTTCAAAGTCCTGTTTTCAATGGTGACTGGTATTATTAACTTTTGAAAAAAAAACCTTTTATCACATACTTAAGAGGTTTTCAAGGTTATTACTTTTAGTCTACGATTTACCTGTACATAGAAAAATTCTTATTGTACATAATAAATTACTATTTAATATTTATATAAATGGCTAATTCACTTGAAGGAATAAATGTACACTACTAGAATCTTTTTAATATTAAGAGTTTTATACGGAATAAAATAATATTTTATTTATTTTATAAATGAGTAAAGAGTCGAACTAAAAGAAAATAAATTCACCTCTAAAACATTCAACTATTAAATAGACGCACCGTTCAAGTATCAACTAAAATTTAAGGACATACAATTTAGTTGTTTAACTAACTTTAACTTAATTAAAAAAATGTATTTTTATATTACTTTTCTATTATAATTTGATGATGTTAAAAAAAATGTGCAAAAATTATGACTTATCCGTCGAGTTTAACCATTTTTTATAGATCTTTAAATTTGAGTTTGATTGGCATTTTTAGAAAAAAAAGTTGAAATTTCCATGAAACTATTTTTGTGCTATTTTAAAATTGTGATATTGCAACTAATGGATGAATAATTCTGTGACGACTTTAAAAATATAATATTTTTTCGCTCTGTGTGTATTGAAAAAACTTTTCCAGGTAAGAACGACGACCGAACAACAAATAGCCAACTCGAAATTTTTCATCACAACATTACAAAAGGCAGTGCTAACTTAAAAGCAGTAGCAGGTGCAACATAGCTTCAACAAAATAATAACCATGAAATTAATTTTCAACATTAAACAAAGACAATACTACACTTACATAAAAAGCTTATTATTATATTTCTACAGAATTTAAAAAGATAATCGATTTTGAGCCTAGCATACCTGATAATCTATGAAATTATTTTTTTTTGAGGCCGTTTCTTTACTTTTTTTTATATGCAATGTTACTAACTAATAAAAAAATTATCGAATTTGAAAACTGGCACGTGAAAAGAACGAGATAGGTAATGCAATATTGTTTCAAAGTAAAAATTTGCTGGTGACAATTCAAATGAGATCAGACTAAATGGTCGAAAAAAAAAATAAGTAGACACGTGTGCGTTGCATTTGTTATACGACATCACATAATGTAAAGTTTCTACAGTCGCATTAAGTTACTGTCAAAACTAGCAAAATACATATATAACCGAACAATAAATTATAACGTTGCAAACGACATCCATCTGATAGGAACGCACACTCCATTTAAAAACCTAATGACGGTTTGTTTGAAAGTTTTACGACCGCAGAAATCGTGTTACACTTCAACATTATACCAGTGTATGTAATTGATATGATAAGATTCTGGAATTGCAAAACAATTAAACAAAAACAAAATGAAATTTTACTATCAAAATTGTATAACTAATATGAGGTTATTTTCTTAAAGATAAATTAGGTCATTAATTCTGTTTTAAGTAAATATATCATCGTTAGAGTTAGAAATGCACTCGAAAACTATCAATGCAATGATATTACATAGGAAATGTTGAACTAGCTATAACTAAATTATTGTCTTTTATAGAGAAGAAAGTCTGAAAGATAAAGTGATTATATACTACAGAATTAACATTTACCATCATAAGAATATAAACAACCCCAGAGAATTATGGAATTCGTGAAAGTGGTGAATTTTAATTTGAACAAACAGAAAAAAGCAACGGGATGCCTACAATCACTTGGTACAATGCTTTTAGAGCGACGAACAAAGAATCTTTCAGTAAAATATATTACGGAATTACACGAGAAATATACTTTATCAATTTTAATAGTTACAATGCTGAGTATAATTTCTTTGATAACATAACCAATACATTTCAGAATTTAAAATAAATAAAAAATAAAAGAATATTTATATCGAGATATTATTGAAAAATACTTGTATGTATATAATAATAATTTACGAGTGTGTTATGACAAAATCTACAAATTACTTATAATATAGCGCAAGGACTTCTTTTAACGCTATAGGGATGGCTATAGTTAAATGAAATTTTTGTTTTTTTTGATTTTACTGGGCACACAAGAGGTTAATTTAGAACTCTATGCGATACTGTAATATACCTAATTTCGATTCTATTACGAATAATAATATGAGTTATTTCACTCTCCATTTAAAAATATTTATTTAAAAAAAGGAAGTTAAATATGAATTTAAAAAATGCAAAAAAAACTTTTATTCATTTACAGGGTTTTTTTTTGTTGATCAAGTTTTGTATCCCATTTAATCAAAAATTACCTCTAAAATCTTCCCTAGACATAATTTTTTTTTACAATAAATTTAATATTTACAATAGTTTATAATAATTAATTCAATAATTATCTATACATTTTTATGAAAACAAATCATTATTTAAAGAAAAAATAGGTGGGATAGTCTGCCATTTTTTATATAATTATCAAATTTTTATACACCAACGAATATTAATACAATTGAAGAATCTTAAGATTCAATAGATATTAAAAGAAACAAATTACGAATGAAGCAAGAATGCATGTTATTCATCTTTTTTAGACCAAAATATTTGCTTTTTTTCGGTTGTTAAATATTAGTGGACACGATGAAAAAACGTCTCGTAGATCTGTCGAACTTTTTGTAGAAAATGTAGTACTCAGAAACCATATTTTAAAAGCAATAAAAGTGGTTTAATTCGAGAAATTGTGTTACTTACATTATTACTTTTTTACATTTATATTTTCATGATTTATATGGATCATGTAACTTAAAATTTAGACGACAAAGAGAACTAAAATGATCTTTATTTAACCATCACATCATAATTCGTAATTAAATAAATTATCTCGTTGAGAGCGGATCTAAGGAGATCTCTTCTAAAACAAAGTTCTAATTTATAAATTGTTATGTATATCAATAAAGTATTCTTTAAAAAATCAATATTTCAACTATTCATATTGAAGTATAAACGGATTAAAAATTAATATGTTTGTGGTATCATTAAAATATTACAATGTTCTTATTACAAAATATAAAAAAAAAAAACAAGTTATAAAATAAAACTATTTAATTAAATAGTAGTTTTTTGAGTGATAGACTATACACAGTGAAATGTTAATTAGAAAACCATGATGATCCATATGCCGATTTCAGATCATATAGCATCACAAGAGTGTACCCTAAAGATATTATACAAATTTTTAAGGAAAGCGTACCATGAAATTTTTGTAATGGAATTTCATTTTCAGTCTTATGGACGCAGATTAAGAACGACAGGCGCCAGAACAATAATATATTGTAGAGTTCGTCACAAACGATTACTGGCAGTATCAAATGAAAATGCATTCCGTCAACGATGCCAAACGTATTTTATTAATTCAATAGTGAAAATAGTAGTATTTAATAGTAAATTATTGGTTCGATTAAGTATCTATATATTCGTTTAATAAATTATACAAAGCTGATAATTATACTTTTCGTTGGATAGATTTTCATAAGCATAGGTCTTGCCTTGTCAATAGAATTCTCAAACATTATTTTTTCAAAGGAACAAATTAAAAATTAATTTTATAATAAAGAAGACTTATTATTTTAATTTCATATGTGTACCTTTTTACCCTTATTATGTACGTAGATAATGTGGGAGTTCGTGTCTAGTAGAAGTTTAGTATTAGGGTGACCGTTTCCAAGTAGTTGGGATAGAGGCGAAGAAAAAGAAGGAGATATGTGTACCCTTTTGACAAAAATAACGAAGAGGTTTTAAGATCCTACTTGAAATTAAAAATTAAATTTATTTGTAGTAGAATTTTACAGAAAAATGAAGAATCAAAGTAAAATTATATGAATGTGACATCAAAATATGTTTTAATAAAGAACTTTAAAATATGAAGAACTCTTAACTGTTTATTCGCTGGTGAAGTTACCCCAGTTAGATTATTCAACACAAAACCACACGAAATCTTATTTTATGTATTACCATTAATGAAAACGAAATAATAAAAATAAACTTTATAGCTCATTGAGCTTATATAACTTAATAGTTCATTGAAGAATATTTCAAATTATATTCAATTAAAGGAGGAACTGTATAATATGTAAATTATTTTAATACAATAACGATTTCAAAAATGTACAAGCTAATTGACAAAATGAATGGAATACAAAGAAAATAGCGTTGTTAATTATTTATCAGTGAAGAAAAACCAGAACGTTTCTGAAATCTTCATTATGATAAAACTAGAAAGTTATAATTAAATTAACTTTGCCTTTTTTCCGCGTTACATCAACTATTTGGCATACAATTTTACAAGACTTTACATTGATCCCTCGAGACCAACAATTTTGGGAGTCTACAATACACACAATTATAATTAGATATCCTCTGTAACAATTTTTACAGTTTATTTGTTTGACGATCCACCAAAATAATAAAATTTGCTCATTTGACCCGTTCTCATAACATGAAAACGTTTATTTAATATGAAAAAAGAATTACATCTAGTTTTATAGGATAATTGAATAACTTATTGGAGAAAGGGCCCAATACCAAATTTCGGTTGGATGCAAAAAACTAATTTTAATGAATATTATTATTATTGTTTTGATGCGAAGCTGAGAATTTATTGTTTTTACTTTAAATGATTTTCTTTTTTTTTTGTGTTCGCATACGCATACGCAAAAAAATCACAAAACGTATCTAGTATAAGCTATCATAGTTGAAATTTTGAAAAAGTCCCAGGTAATAAAGAGAAATGTTCCAAAGTATATTGTTTTCATGAAACAGTCAATGTTGATTTTTTTAGCTTTTATTTTACATTGGATAAAATTTTTGAAACTGCACAGATTATTGTGACATTCATACTGAAAACCTTCAAACATTACTGAAGACATACTTTTTTTTAAAATTATATCAATAACCAATGTTTTCTAGGGACTCAAAAATCATATCAAAATTTTTTCTTTTTAGTTTTTTAAAATATTTTAAACAATTTATCTAATTTAAGAATGAAATAGAAACACTATTCGAAATTTTTATTTTTAAGAATTATCGGAAATTAAAGTAAAAAATCCTGTTATTTTCGTTAGATATTATAGTTATATTTAAATGGTTCGAACTATTTGAATAATGCACAGATTAAAATATAATTATTTAATTATATAATCATCAAATATTTTTTTATTTTCAAATTTGATAATATTTCAAAAAACCTGTATTCTTAAATCTTACACTTTATTCAAGTTAATAAAAATTACCTATGATGAAAAAAATAATGAAATGAAATCTTAATTACTAGGAGTTCTTGCATGTTAAAGCCGAAAATCATATAATTTTTGGTCAAACATTTTGATTTTGTAATATTTGACATAGTAAAAAATGCTTACATCATTATAAATTATTTAAAATTAAAGCTTTTTTAATGTTGGATTTAATATATGATTAAAAAACAAAAACTTAATAGTGACTTCTATGAGTAATCAAACTTTAATGTTAAAAACAAGGTAATATTTGGTAAATATGTTTTAAATATGCATGGAAGCGTTTAACGATAGTGATTTTAATCACTCTTAAATATTAATCAATAATAATCTAAATAATATTTCTACTCTACTTTACTGGATAATTTACTGTTATTTAATTTTTTTTATAAAAGCTAGGTCCTATTAATTATTTAAAAGTGATAAAAATTGTGCCCTTTTTCAAATAAATACTTTAATTTTTATTAAATAGGAATATATATGTGTATTGTTTAGTATATTATATTTTTATTAAACTAATTATAAAACTACGTCAAAATTATTGAAATCACAGTACTCAATCACAAGAATAAACACGAAGAAGACGAATTGAGCCCTCATTATAATAAAGATTCAATTTTTTAATGAAATAAAGACCCACTATAATATTTTGACCCTTTTTAAAATTAAATAAAATAAATTTGTTGATTAGAAGATCTATCTACAAAGTTTACGATTATTAATAGCTATTATTGCACTTTCTTTAAGTTTCTACGGCTTGTTAGTTGAAACATTTTAAGGCCAAAAATGAGCTTTTAAAATATTTATCTTTATGTTTATAATCCACACAGAACTTTTGATATGTATATCTCATACACTTTTGAATTTATCCAACAAGCGTATACCTTTGATATAATTTATATTAATCACACGACATTGTGCAAGCAAACCCTTTTGTTTTTAGAGTTTCCCCTATAAATAAATTACCAAGAAAGTACTTAAAAAACATATTGTCTAGGAAAAACATGTGATAATAAATGGATTAAATGACTAATGTTAGAGGGATTTCTTTAAAGTAAAATTAATTTATTATTACTTCCTTAAATAATTATAAAATGTCGAGAATAATTTTTACATCAATGTTCTCTATATTATGTTATTTAATTACAAAAAATAATTATTTCATTTATAATTTATAAAGTTTTAAATTTGTTATATTGAATAGCAAATTCGATTCGTGTAATGTGAAGACATTTTGGATTAGTGATTATTGTAACTTAAAAGTATAAAATTCATATTTTATTTTTAATCATTTAATAAAAGGAAAAATGAACTGTGTAAAACTTTATGTAATTTTCTAAATTTTTAAAGAGTTTAAAGACGCTGTACTTATTAAAAAATGAAAATAAAAGAATTAATTATTTTTAATATTAAAGTATGTATACTACATAAAATTTAAATGATTACTCTTTTTTGTCAATGTAATTATAACGAAAAACACGATTTAAACCTAAATGTAGTGAAGAGTGAAGAGAAATTATGGCAAATAGTTATGATTTGAAAGTCATAATAAATTAAACATTATTTTATTAAAAATTAATTGATCGATCTGTATTTACCATATTTGCTTGAACATTGCGTATAAAATATTACGATTCGACAAAGTTTTCACTACTTTATCTTTGATAAGTCGGACAATTTTTTAAAAACTTTAATGAAGCAAAACTATACTTGTAAAGATATTATATAAATGGCACACTCGATTGTATGTACAGCATACAATAGACGACTCACAGTAAGTATGAGACTATTAAACTTTACTAAAAAGACGCTCTTAAATTCTCTTGGAAAACATAGTTAATATCTATTAGATCATTACTCAAGACGGTCGTAATTTAAAATTGTTACAAAAAGTAATTTATTTTGTTATGTATTAAAATTAAAAGCTATAAAGATAGACACTTTACAACTTAACATAATGTTTGTTTACATTTTGGCATAATGTAGTTATTACTTTAAACATGATTAATGTAAACATTTGCATTAATTAGTAAATGTATTTTTTTCATAGATTATAAAATATAATTTTAGTCTCTTTTGTTTATAAAGTGAAGAAAATACTAAACAAAATGTTAATCAAGACGAGCTAATACTAAAAAGATACATAAAAAGCTTAAATTTATATACAGAGTCCCACCATATTATGATCTTTAATAATTTTCGACCTAGAAAATATTTTGTACTTCTTTTTTTTTTTTAATAATATTTACAATTTTAGATAACGTTGAAGGCATTTTTATTATTATTTTTCTCTAATAAACAAAAAATATTTATATAGCTTCAACTAGTGTAATGCATTCCGTCTATGCTACATACGCATTCTGTGTATTAATATGCTTGTAACTCAATAAGTACTTACCCTAAAGTTTAAAAAAAAATGATATTATACTATTTCACCTATTTAGAATGTATTTTATAACTATTTTGAAATTTCAAAAAAAAAAAAAGTATTTTTTTTTTAATAGAGACAAATAATAAAATAAAAGTAAACACATCATAGTAAAATTAATACCTTCTTAGCTTCGCATCGAAGCTAAAATATGCATAAATTAATACTATAACACAATTTAAATATGCAAAAGTTGTTTAAAAAAATTACAGCGAAATAATTATTGGATCAAAAGTTATTGGATGTCATATCATCACAGTATATTTATTTAAATTTTACACATATAATTTTACGCATCAATGAATTTGATCATTAAATTAAATACTCCTTGACTAATTTTGTTACCTCCGAAGAACTTTTATTTCATTATCCAATGAGTCTTCTTTTCCTTTGAGCGCTTTTTTGTCGATTATTTTTACTGCATACATTTCATTAGGTCGTTCTTTACTTACGGCCAATCTGACCTCAGAAAATGCACCCCTGTAAAAAAAAAATAATTACTTTAATCGGAGTAGTAAATAAAACCTTAATATAAAAAATTGTGTCGATCCATACACTTTTCAATAAGTTATAGAATTATAATGTTAAACAACCCAGCACAGGGGGGTCGCAGCACAGTGGTGACGTGGTATAGATGGATCAAGTATAATAATATCTGACAGTGATTAAAATCACTATCAAAAAAAAACGCTTCGATGCAAATCTTTAGATACTGTTTTATTTTAAAAATTTGGTGGACTATTCCAAAAGCTACATGATCTGCTAGTTCATTATTAATATCCTAATTAAGATAAAGTATGTCGAATGAAAAAGGGATTATTAAAAAATATTATTTCTCATAAAAAAATAATGTTGATCCATACACTTTTCAATATGTCATAGCATTATAAAGTTAAAAATGTAAAAAATAAAATCGAGAATTTTCACACAATAATAGCATTTGGTAGCCATTTACACCGTGAAGATAAAATAAAGTCCGAAATTTTTTTTTTGCATAATAAAGAATATTACATTAGCTTTAATTTAAGATATATATAAAAGTGTCAGACCTTCCGGAACATTTTCAAAAGTTAAGTTGAAAAAGTTAATTTTTTTTGAAAAAGTGGTCATTTTAAATCCCCCCCTGTGGGCAGGTAATGGGTTAAATTTATGAAAAAAATATATCAAACGAAAGGTAATGATATTACACATTTATATAAAAAAGAATTATATTGATATGTTCATTTTTGAAAAAGTTATGGCACTTTTAAGTAAAAAAAATTGAAAAAATTTCGAAAATTAGCGATTTTTAAATTTGTAATTTTTTTGGAGGTTTCCCCCATTTACGGGGAACGAGGGAATTTTTTTCAATTTTTAAGGGTAATGTCTTCGACTAGATACGATTTGTGATCTTTTGACGTATCATTGAAA